TTGTTTGTTTTGACGCCCATTTTTCTGCTTAGAATTGTTTTGTTCTTAGAGGCTACTTTTCGTCCGTGCTGTGACTACACTTGACTTGACCAGAAGCAAATTTGTCATAAACATGTGCTTTGTCAGGATGATTCTATTGTTCTGGTCACAGTCACTTTTGTTTTGATTTGACAACTTGATGTGTGTCAGAAGTAGAAAAACAGACCATACCACACGGAATGCGCAAGATACGTTTTAACACTCATGTAGTAAATTCTAATGTTTTAAACCAATTTGTCACTGATGAAAAGAAAAAATGTCCAATAATACTGTGGCAAGGATCACTTGATAGCAATCTCTTGGTAAAAATATGCTATGATCGTAATAATAATTTCTGTTCTCTTATATCTGGACAGCATTTGAGGAAAATACCTGAAAAATATAATTGGACTCACAAGTAATAAAATTTTAAAACAACATTTCAATATTACCTCGAACAGGAGATTGATTCATTATTATAATGTCAAGTGTCCCTGAGATTACAGTCAAAGGCTGCTGGTTGCCAGATCAAGTTTCCATGCGCATTTCCATGGGTGAGACTAGTCAAGTCAACTGGAGTCATATATATATTGTACAAATACCCGGCTTCAGTTGAGTTTCATCCTTTGTCTCTTTTCTCTTCTTGTGGCCGTTAAATTGAAATCCCAGACAAGCAAACATTTGATACCGGCAATGTTAACCATCTCCTGATCGGATTCAAATCCCTTCTAATTTAAAATGACTTATATAATATAAAGACACAGGAACACAGGTAAATAAATCTTATTTTATTAGCTAATACAGCTTAAATGCATGCGTTCAGGTTCCTTGTGACTTGGGGACAGAAATCAGACTTCAACATTAATTTTTTGTTTGGGGAGTGGAGGGGAGATCTCTGGCAACATGCAGCTGCCAGGTAAACTCCTCCCATTTCAGAGGGTTTTTCACAGGTTCTGACCCTGTGAAAAATGCCCTGTTCACAGGTTTTGACATTTTATACCCGGTGAAAAACACTGTAAAAGTTCAGAGGTTTTTCACAGGGTCTTTCACAGGTTTTTAACAGGGTAAAAATTCACAGGGTTTTTCACAGGGTTTTGCATGGGTTCTGACCCTGTGAAAAATGCCCTTTTCACAGGTTTTGACATTTTCTACCATGTGAAAAACAATGTGAAAGTTCACACGTTTTTAACAGGTTTTTCACAGGGTCTTTCACAGGTTTTTTCACAGGGTAAAAATTCACAGGGTTTTTCACAGGGTTTTGCATGGGTTCTGACCCTGTGAAAACTGCCCTTTTCACAGGGTCTCAACAGTTTCACACCCTGTGAAAAAGGTGTGAAAAACATGTGAGAAAACATGTGAAATTGAACAGTTCACATGTTTTTTCACAGGGTATTTCACAGGTTTTTCACAGCATTTTCACATGTTTTTATCCAATATTGATCGCAACGTTTCGACCGCACTTGGCAGGTCTTCATCAGGCAATAGTGTCAATTTATACTGAGTCGAACTATTTGTACCACCGTGCACGATTGTTAGTGATTGGTGTATCTCAAACCTCGCGCATGGTTGGTGAAGAGATTTGTCTCTAAATCACATTTTAATTTAGTAAGTTAAATTTGGCAAAAATTATTCGGTTAAAATAAGCTGAAGTTAATTTTATTCCCATTTAGCATATAGTGCCATTAGTTCAAATATAAAATTAATACTTGTAAATAAAGACAAAGGGAAAAAAGGGTACCAGAGGTTATGTGAGTTGATGCAAGTCTCTGACTGTTTCCTTTGCCTACTGAGAATTACCACTGTATGATTGACACAGTAGTGCTTATAAAATAATATTTGAAGGTGCATGTGCATGTAATGTCACTATCTGCTTGAAATATGCCCGTTGGAAATGTCTAATAATAATGTTTCCTGCCTTTCTTTAATAGATGCAAAAATGTAAAATAGTTAGATGAAGAGATATTAAACATTATGGGACTGAGAGGGAACAAACGCCCAGTCTAGCCCTTGCAGGGAAATGTGAATTTTCACCAAAATTATTATTTTTAGGCCAATTAAACACTTGAAATAATTGAGATAAAAGTTATTTTCTCGAGAGGTCCACAAACTTTTATTCAGCGTTCGCAAGAGAGAATTTACATGTAACAGTCACCAATACAATATTCTCCATTGCTTTTTGTTTGCTTTGAGGCAGTTGCGCATGGACTTTATGACATTTCAAACAATCGATTAAAATGTATGGACATATTAGGAATTAGACTCCTGTTTAATTACAACTTCTAAAAATAACTTTGTGAAATTCCTACAATTAACCCAGCCGATCTGTCACATTATTTTCTCTTGGTCAGACTTGAAATATTATTCTTCTTGTAAGCTGCAATACTGTTTACACCATACTGTAATATTTTTTTAGAGACTACAAAGAGGGATATTATTTTATGAATCTTACCTTGGGTGGAGGATAAGTGACCAATAACTTGCCTGGTTAGTTAATTTTAATAGCTGTTGTACAAAAGTGGATAGAATGTTGCTTGTGTAAAACATGGTTGCGTGCACGCTTAAGGAAAAAAATATGGGATTAGATTCTTACCATTTGTAGAATGTTAAATGTTGCATCTGTGCTATCCCACTGATCCCTCCCCTTTTTATCTACCAAAGTGGATGAGGTGAAATTTAACATTCTTTGTTGGCCCACAAAGGGTGAAAAGGTGGTGGTGTACATTAAAATTAATGGAGGGGGTCATGTACAGTAGCAGCTGCTTGGTTGAGAAGTCACCAATACTGCCTAACCCAGACCAAGGTAAAAAGAGCCACAAGCTTGGACAAAGTCTGTCGAGACGTCACAAAAATGTGTATTTTTTGCACCTAACCTGACAAAAATGCTTACCATTTGCCAATTGAATGACCGTTTCCAACTCCTCTCTTCCCATATTAATGTTGTGTGTGGTAACACCAGAAAAACTGAATACATGTTTTAATTTATAGCTGTTAGACCTAAAACTCTGTTGAACAGTGGTGGAGAGGGCGCAACTTTGTTTGTTTAGAGTGATGGTAGTGTGGCGAGTTATTAGAAAATACCTAGAAATGTCTTGAGAGTTTTTTTGTAGAGTTGTAACTTTGAAGGGAACACTTGCTATTAATGAGAACTTGGTGGAAGAATTTCAGATGTTTAGGGAAATGAAAAAATTGCACTAAATTTCAAGTTTTGCAAGTGCATGGTTAGCCACTTAGGTATGCGGTGGGCAAGTTGGTAGTGTGGGTGTTACATGTACCTCTTAAGCTAAAGTGTTAGGCTAACAGTGTGCAGTGTTAATTAGGCAGGCAAACAATGTACTCCTCTGGACTAACTTTGTGAGACAAAAAGACTCTGTGCTCATGCCTTGAATTTTGGTCAGTTCAGCTGGGATGCTGTTTTTTTTTTTTTTTCACGATGGCATATTACAAATTTACAATCCTTATTACACACATCGTCATCATTATCTTTGAAAATCTTGAAGATGTTTGGTCCATTTTTTTGTTCTATGGTGTTTTCTTTTTCTTTTTTTGTTGTTGTGGTCTTTTTATTGTGGATTTACATTTAACACATTCATCCACATGGTGTACAAAAGTCAGGGGCTAAATCTTTTAGTCATAGCGGGTACGTATGTCATTTCTTTTGCGGCTTTGGATTACTGACTCAAACCAAATGAGTACTTTATTCTATGAGGTAAGGAAAAGATATATGTTTATTACTGTCTTTCTTTTTCGTACTCCAGGTGCTGTTGATGGATTAAATCCTGAATAAGCTTATCTTCTCTTCCAACATGGCAGAAAAATCATCACGTTCAGCCATCTCTACTTCTACTACGACAGCAAATGTAGGCAAATTATATAGACTTCTTTTTGATGGTGGAACAAAAGCTGTTAAAATTCAACTGGAAAAGTATTTTACACCTTTCCCTTCCAAGCTGGTCAACTTCCTTGAAACGAATCGGGGTAAAATCCAAGAACTGGTAGAAAGAAAGGTTATAAACAGTGATCAATTGAACCAACTTCGCCCAGACGACGGAAGTGACCCAGACCCTGAAAAATTTGACATCAGTCTAACTATTCTTATTCTCACAAATTTTTGTGGGTTACGCCCCCCTCGCTTAGGCTGGGACAAAATGCCTCATAAAAAAGAAACATCCCTTTCAGCGAAACTTGTTCGTTTAAGGCTTTTTCGTAATAATCTGGTTCATCGACTTAACACACGTTTTGAAGACAAGGAATTTCTGAATCTCTGGGAAAGCCTTCGGGGTATTCTTTGTTCTCTTGCTCTGCCTTCATCAGACATAGAAAAGTTCAGGAGACTGGAGGATTGCGATGAGAAATATTATTTTGAACTGTTAAAGAAATGGGCCGACTCAGAGGAAGATTCCAAAAGAAGGTTAAAAGTAATTTCTGAAAACCTAGTCAAAGCACAGCAGACTCTTCAAGATACAAACCAAAGAGTTCGTATAGTAGAACAGAACCAAGTGGAGGCTAGCAAACTGCAGCAAATGGACCACAAAACTCTTGAAGATACACACCAGGTAGCTCAAGATACAAAACAAAGAGTTCTTCTAGTAGAACAGAACCAAATGAAGGCTAGCAAACTGCAGCAAGTGGACCACGAAACTCTTGCAGATACACGCCAGGTAGCTGAAGGTCTACAGCGGTCTGTAGAGCAAGTTTTGAGAACCCAACAAGAAACTCAGCAGCAGATCAAGGATGTTGCTGCAGACGCTAAAGAAAGAAGAGATAAAGATAAGGAAGATGAAGCAATGAGAAAACTGGCAAAAGTTAATACGGAGAGAGACATCCAGCGTCACTCTGGGAAATACCAGGAGGGAACGCGCTTGCGCATCTTTGAGAAGATAAATTTGTGGCTAGACGACCGTACTTCTGAAAATCGTGTTATGGTAATCAGTGGAGATGCAGGAATGGGCAAATCAGTGATCGCCGCTGTCGTTTGTTAGAGAATGCAACACACTGGTCGGCTCTCAGGAAGTCATTTTTGTCAGCACAACAAGGAACGTTACAGAAACCCGAAGTTGATGCTGCAGTCGTTAGCTTGTCAGCTGTCTGATGTTTTACCAGAATACAAAAGTGAACTTGTGAAGAAACTTTCTAGAAACTTGGGTGTGGACATGAACAGCCTAGAAGTTCAGGAGTTGTTCGAATTTCTTTTCGAAGAGCCTTTATGCAGCGTAGGAGACCCTGGGAGAAATTTGCTGTTAGTTATTGATGGCCTGGATGAAAGTGAATACCAAGGCCGCAATGATCTGCTTGATGTCGTAGCTAATCATTTTTGTAAACTTCCTGTTTGGTTCCGGTTTCTTGTTACCACTCGACCGGAAATAAATATTGCAGATCGTCTTAAAAGGTTTAATCCTATTCAGCTGGAGCAAGATGACGAAGAAAACGTGAAAGACATCAGACTCTTCCTTGAAAAACAGTTAAGCAGCGTTATTCAATCGGGCTCTGTAGATGTTGTTATCGATGCACTGGTCCGAAAGGCTGCAGGGCATTTTTTATATGCTTATTTGATGGTCGATTTTATCAAGGAAAACGTTTCACCTCTCACCCCTGAGGAGTTAGGAAGAACCTTACCTTCAGGTGTATCGTCTGTTTATCATTCCTACTTTGAACGTTTAGAGAAAGAATTGAAAATTAGTGAGGACCAGTTTTTGACTTTTCTAAGTGCTCTGGCGGCTGCAAGAGAACCGCTACCACTAGAATTTGTTTCTAAGATGATGCTTTCGGACTCGAAGTCCCCATCTGGTCCTCGGAATGTAACAAAAGCTATCAACTCTATCTCAACCCTTCTACCTGTTCATGATGACTGCATTGTGTTCTTCCACAAATCAGTTAAGGACTGGTTGACAGACAGAACTGCCTACGGGCGACACAACTTCTCTGTGGATGAAAAGCAAGGTCATGTCATGCTTTCTGAGCTCTGTACTAATGAACTGAATAATGTGAAAAGAAGAGGCGTTCACGGCACAGAATTCAGTGACACTGCAAGGTACGCCCTACAGCATGGTGTTTATCATATGCTCGAGTCTGGAGACCTGGAACAGAGTACAAGAAACTTTCATGAAATCGTTAACAACTATGTTACAGACTTAAACATTGTGTATGCAAAGCTTTGTGTAAACAACACGGCTAGTTCTGAGGACATTATCCTGACTCAGAAACAAGAAGCTTTTGAGGCATTGAGTAGTGAGAGGCAAAAAGCCCTTGGCACGTTGTTGTCTCTCTTACGAAAGTACCATGGGAGACTTTCGACGCATCCTTGTACAATATTTCAAGTGATGGTGAACGAGGGAGGGGACGTTTTTGCTGGTGAAGCGACGAAAGTTTTACAGAGTCGTAAATTACCATACATGGAGTACCGTCATAAGGAAGCTGTGAAGAAGGAGTCGAAAAAGACCCAGGCTGAGTTTCCCTTTAACTCCAAGCTTGCTTGTTTTGATATTTCCCCTACGCAGGAGTTCATGGTTTGCGAATGTACTGATGGAATGATTTACCTTTGGTCACTCAAAACGGGTGAGCAAAGGTGGGTACGTCCGGTTAAGGTCACGAAAGACTACTCTGGACCTTTCCGCCATTTTAGATTGGTACCAAACTCAAATGTGTTCTCATGTTATCGCTCTGTTGTTTTTCACCCTACTGAGCCCATTGTTCTTCCTGGAATCCTTAGCCATGCTTACTCGTTTGAAGGGAACCTCCAACCTTTGTTTCCAAACAGCAACTGCAGATTTTCTGTTTGTTCTGTTCATGGGGACGAGAGCAAAATTATCACCGATTGCCCTGGTTATGCTAAATGCCTTGTCATGTGGAATCTAAAAAATGGTGAAGAGATCACTCGAACCATCAGAAATGAAGATGTTTTGTCTTTTGCTTGGTCTCCAGATGGAACGCTTCTGGTAATTTCCCATTGTTCAGGACTAATACGTTTGGTTGACGCATTGAACTGCTTAGACACCACTCTCGCAGAAGTCGCCACCGATAAACCTTATGGAATGATAAAGTTTGCCCCTGACACTCAATTTCTTTTTTGTTTGTCTTGGTCATTTCGTCCAAGTGAAAACGAACGTAACGATAGGGCGATAATAGAACCGCAGCGACCCTCACATTTTCGCTTGAACGTCATTAAGTTGCCGTGTGGTGCCTTTTCCTTGAACGTTTTAGACGAAGATTTTGGCCAGGATCTATGGAATTACGAATCATCTAGCAAAGGTGGATTCTTCATGGGAGATCCTATATTTTACAGGATTTCCAGTACCTCGAAAGTTTTTTCTGAGGGGTTTGCATTTGTATTAAATAACCAAAGGGTATTAATGGTGCTTCCTGACAACAAGAAAATTACAATGCTTCAACATAAGGATCATTTGAGAGCCACCTGGTATCGTCCCTTCAATTCTAGTATCCATCAGATTGCCTTCGCTCCAGATGGGATGACCATTTATGGTACCG